CCCCCCTCCCCAATTTTTGTTCGTGTTTATTCAAATCCCAATCTAACACCCAGGCATATTTGTCTGCTCCTGTAGTTATGTCCCATTTTGCACATCTACCAGGGTGAGTGAAGCGTCACCCGGGAAAAAGAAAAAATGAAATTAATTGTTGGTTGCATAGTTAATAATGTCAAGTGATGTCAACATGAGTTTGGCATGTTGGTTTCACAGTTCACGGAGAGCTATTGGTAAAACATAGCCCTTTTAGTGAGAATGAGTGGGTCCTCCACCTCCTTCAACTATCTAATCTTCTGCTACACCTTTGGAGCATGGCAAAAATAATAAACCTATTGAAAAACACTCCCAAGTCCCTGTCCGAAGTGGCTCTGGCTCCTTGCCAGGTTGAGTCTGAGGTCGCTTGCCATTGATAGCAGATGCGATCTATATGGATTATGTTTTTGTAAATAGTTTTATTAACATAGTTTGAAGTCATTATATCACAAAAATCCTATTAAATTCCTTATTTTATTTCATTTGGAAATCTATACCTCTTATATGCATTTGGTTTTTATAATTTTGATGGTTGATGTTTAGGGACACAGTCCAGCTGGCGGGTGCCTATTGGCTCTCAGTTGTGAATATAGAATTATGGTGGGACCTAAATATTCTATTGGTCTTAATGAGACACAGCTTGGAATTGTAGCTCCCAGATGGTAAGTAAAAGGTTTCCCTTGATTTTATGTTGGGAATTAAAGTGTAACCTATTTATTTATATTAAAATTTAATTAATAATTTTCAATGCTTCTAAGAGGCCACAAACCCTTAACTGTCGAGAACGATTCATTATTGCTAAATTATTCAGGAAATTCTGAGGTCATCTTCATATTTTATTTCTTCATGGAATGCAAAGTAACTGTTGGTTTCTACTAAATTCTTCCTGTTTTGACACTGAGAAAGTGCTAAGATTCTCAAAACTGCTATTTATGAATGCAAAATAACATTATTTTTTTTTGTAATGACCCACTGATGTAAAAATTATCATAAATTGCTCTTTTAAAAAATTATTTTGGAATTATAATCTCTATAATGTTAATTGTTGTCATAGACTTCTCCTGCTAAAACAACAGGGGAGGGGATAACAACTTTTCTGCCGCCCCCGCCCACCTCGATTCATTCAATTTTTTTTATGTACATATGGTATAACATTTTACTTGTACAAAAGTTTTCAGTTTGTTTATGAATTTTTAAATTGTATTTTTAGGTGGTTGTGGAAGGCATTGTCTCAGACTTTATCACATTGTTTCAAGGTAGTTTCATTGACTTTTGATGCATTTTTATGGGTTTCTAGGGGGTGTTCAAATCCAAATATACCACCTTTCCAAGGGTAGATTGGAAAGTTTTTTTTTACTTTGGCTTCAATACATGATATTATTGTACAATTTTGGACATTTATGTACTATTTTTTGCAAAAACTAAAAGTTCAATTATAAAAAATAATTTTATTTATTGAAAATTAGGGAGTCGACTAGTCAATCAGCACACAGGTGTTGACTTACTCAACTAAACAAAATGCCAAAATCTTCCAAATTTTATATTCCTAGGCACTAATGCTGACTCGGGCATAGATACGGTAACAATATCCTAGTAGACTAATGAGCCCATGCATTTGTCTTTACTTTAAAGTTTAAAATGTATCTGTACATTCCATTTTGGCATTTTTATTAGGGATTTAACATATTTACGGAAATAACATGTTTCATTGCAGCCCCTTTCTTAATTTTCAGGAAAGCCAAGGCCCCCCTGTGTGCATGCCTGATTTTGTGAAGAAATCAAAATGTTTTTAATTATGAAACATGTTTTCCCAAGGTTTCAGGATTCAATGAAGAACGTGATACCTATAAGGCAGGCTGAATTAGCTTTAACAACTGGCAGAATGTTTTCCACTGAAGAGGCGCTGAAAATTGGATTGGTAGATGCTCTTGCCAAGGACAAAGCTGATGCTCTTTCTCAAGCTGCCAACTTTTTGCTTCAAATGAAGAAGATCCCTCGTAAGTTTATGAACATTCCTGTATGCCACAGTTTGGCAATAATTGACATGTACCAATCATCTATATGGCCCTCAGCCTTACAGTAATATAACGTAACAATGTTAGGCTTTGTAAGCAATATTAAATTTTGACCACAAATGTCAGAAAAAGAAGTCTCACAGAAAACATAATAGTAAAGATTGTTATAGTTTCCTTATAGTTATGGTAGGGGTGTGTGACATTTTGCCTTATAGTTTGGTGTTAAAGTAAACTTAAGTCTTAAGTGGCATCCCTTTCTTTCATCCCCCATCATCTTCTCACATGCCTTTCATTTATTGCAAAAAGAGTTCCCAAATTTACTGTAACAATTCTTGGGTAAAAGGAAATTTCAATTTGGCAAGAGTAGAAAAATAAAATGATTGTAATCACTGGGTATCATTACTGCTGGGTAATGTGTTGAAGTGGTAATTTCCATCTCTTCTCCAGGTATGTAAATTGTAAAAAGTTGGGGTTTCTGAGATGTTTCTAGGAGATAAGTTCCCATACACTTCCTTTCTGGTTTGTTGCCACAACAGGCACTGATACTCTTTCTTTTCCTACTTATTTCTCAAACTAGCCTTGCAATTGCATATTTAAAGTTTCAATATAATCCTTTTGTATCTTGTTTTACAATTGACTTAAAGTGCTTTGTGAGAAGTCCTACTCACACATACTTGTGTACACACTCGTGAGATTTTGGGTTTGGTAGAATCGATAGGGAGTGTTAGCCTAAAAGAAAGTTTGGATAAGGACTTGTGCAAAACCCATATTAGTACTACAGCTGTTAGCTCTAGACCACACAGGGGCACAGATGAAGACACTAACAATCATTCCCAATCTGTGCGATTTGACCCCTTCAAAAGAGGTAATTGGGCAGTTCCACATAAGCCACATAGATTGACCAAAGTTAGATTATTAAATATGTAATTTCTTTTATAGGTGTTGCTCGTGGCCTGACCAAACAAGCATGCAGACAAGACGCTATTGGTTGGCTTGAAAAGAATAGAGATTTAGACTTGCAGATCTTTTTGACTTTTGTCAATCAACCTGCTGTCCAAAAAGGCTTAGAATTGTATCTGGAATCTCTGAAGAAGAAACAATAAGTAAAATGATTTTAAAATGTTCAGTGCCTTTTAAGCATTTTAAAATAACTTTGAGATGTATAAAATATTGTTAAGCATAAGAATTGTAAAATCAATGGGAAATTGTTATAGTTATTTGTTAATTTTTTGTACATAGTTCCAATTTTTTATACATTATTGAAAAATACATATTTGACTGAATTGTGCATAAAAGTTTTCATACCTATGTTTCCTTTTTCCTTATTTGTGTCTAATGATACTTTTTAGTACTTAATAACGTGGGAATTCGAGTCTTCAATTCCATTTACTTTTCCTTCAAAGAATTTTATAATGGCAGGTTTGTTTGACAAAGGCGATATCTTTAGATTTATTTTCATTATTATTATTGCTCTCCATCTTAACATATTTTGATACTAAACATCTCATAATAATACTCCATTCTGTTTTTATACGTTTTTGAAGGGAGATTATATTTCCAGAAAACAGAGAAATGTCAATTTGACTATGGGACTAGCATAAAAAAAATCCCACAAGCTAGCAATATGGTTATCAATCTTTTTTCTGAAATGCATTGTGATCCACTGTGGATGGTAGATACAAAACAAGTTGTTGCTGAGTCACTCCACCATTGTGTTTTTGATAAAAACGAATGTGTGAAATTCTTGTTTTCGGCACAAAAAAGATTGAGGTTTTCTTCTTAACCAAAAGGCTGATGCAACTAATAGTGTTTTAAAATCGTATGATTAGTTGTATTCATGACAATTCAATATTCATCTTAGTACAGTGAAACTTCCATTTATACATTTTTCAGGAGAATGAAGAGAAAAATGAGGAAAATATAGGTGCAAAAATAAAAACTTTAATAATACTGTTATGTTAGAAAATAATATACATATTATATTATCAGTACATAACATTGTCAAGCAAGAAAGTTCTCGCTTTTGGAAAGCCTGACCATTTGCTTTTCTTAGTGCCTAAGAATAAATTTACTCAATGTGCCAACTGCCCCATAATCACCTATATTACTTAATTCCCACCTGTATTTCATACAAATTGGCCATGTTTGTGCACACAAAGCCATACCATGTGACATGTGAACATTACACAAAGCCATATGGACACTGGTGGGCACTACCCGTGCACTCCTGGATTTTGTTAAGTCTCCAATAGCTCCAGAAAGCTGTTAGGTTTTACCCATCACTCCTTACCAAGAAAACTAATCTGAATACCAAACCTAACCAGAATTCCTTGAGCTCCTCTAGGATGATGTAATTGTTCTCGCATACTGATCTATGACAGTATATAGTCAGGACTTTTATTATGAATGTATAGTAATGAATAAATGTAAAATGCATTTCTGAAATAATTTAACAATGAAGCTTAATCATGAAAAAGGAGTAAGTGCAAAATGTATAAATGGAGTTTCGTTGTAACGAGCATTTTTGCTAAATCGGTAATTGACTACTATAATTATTTTTCTCTGCGAACTGTCAATTGAATTTACGCTAATATGGAAAATATTTGTGTTTTTCAAGCATTTTCATATTATTTGATTCTATTCACTCCAAATTATGGAACAGAGAAATTCTTTATTGCTCTGTTACTAGCGATTAACTGAGGGAACAAGGATAACAAAGGCATATGCATTTAAAAAAAAATTAATACAAAAATATTTCATTGAATAATATATTTATCAACATTGCAAGAACTTTACAAAAATACAAACTTGCTCCATAAGTTTGCACAAGTTACTGTTCGATGATGCATTAAATAAAATGCTACACCTATTTTCAGCAATATTCCTGTTGAAGAAATAAAAAAATATTCCTGATTATCCTCTTTAAGATATATTTCTGTACTTTCATTGAAGCTCATACTCTATATCCTGTCATTAATAAATAAATAATTATACTTGTATTTTACTGACCTACAAAAATGTTGATTTCAATATGATAGTTTTGAACCGAGTTCCTTCATACAAATGTTTTAGTATATAAAATTCCTCACGACTTCAATTAACAGCAGTTTGTGGTTTTGTGATACGTTTTGCACCTCTATTTGGAGGACCCTTCGGCTTATCAAATTTTACAGTGTGCAGTTTCTTCTTTGGATGTAATTCATCTTGGAGATAGTCTTCTGTTAACTCTGACCCAGAGTCAATTTCGAGCTGGAAAAAATAAAAATATAGTATCAAAATTCTAGATAGTTTAATGTAAGTATAAAAAGTGAAGAACCTCAATATTGTGAATTAAATTTTTTGCTGCACTACTACTTTTTTTCAATAGTTATAAAAGGTAATTTCCATGAATAAAATAAAGTGAATTTAAATTTCGAAAGTGTGGAGAATGCCTTATCGTATGTAAAAAACCCTACAGAAACATTTGAAATTACAAATGTTCACGGTGCTGAAATTTTAAAAGTAAGATGTACAGACATTGTTGTAATAATATTTGAGTCACATTAGTTACAGGGTTGATTACAACCAAAAGTTACCTTCAATTTTATTTTACTCAAGGGTAAAAAACAGTTTTAATTATTTTCAATTTTATATCTAGTTAAGAGGATTTTCAGAGCTGCAGTACTGTAATCATAGTTCACACCACGAAAATGTAAGCATCAAGGCCATTTGGTTCTCCGCGCTGCACTTTACCCCATGCCATTGCCACAGGAGGACTCCTGCAGAATACCAGCCACTCCCAATGAAATAAATTGTGTTTAACCCTTGAGCAGGCGCACCAATACCTTTTACATGAATAGGGTGTGGAGTACTTGATACCCCAGTACACAAATACATTCTTCTTAGCGGACATGTGTCGTATACAATTATGTACAATGGGCATCACATAAAAAATTTAATTGTATTTCAAAAAATCTTAATTGCCAAGTTTAATTGTTGACATATTTATCAATTTAAAATTACAATGCAAGGGAACAAAAAAATATTCAGTATTACATCTAAAAAGTAAAACAAAATGGAAGTGAAAACAAAAAATTAAGGAATTATTTTTTGTTATTTCGAATGTTAAACAATTAGTAAAACATTTAATGTACCTCAAAAGAGATACAGTCTCTCTAGATGTACATGGATTGGCAATTATAAGATGTCACAAATTTTAGAGGCTATCATTCCCATTATTGTACTTTCAAACCTGCGTAGATTATTTTGACACGGTTCTTTCAACTAAAATGTCCAAATGCACTATAGGTTATGGTAGTGTCACTTGCTTGGCATGTCCACAGATTCCATATCCTCTTGTTTTACACATTTAATTGGGTAGAAACTCTTATTTTACTGGAGTTTTCTGTACTTAGAAATGTGGTGGTTGTTAGGCATTTTAATTAAAGCCTGATTTTTGAGCTGGATTTCCATCAGCCAAAGCTACTAATTTTTTTTCAGAAAATTCTTCTGTGTAGTTTAGTATTTACAAGGTTAAAACAATGCAGAATTTGCGAATTTATTCCTCCTATGTTCATAAGAGAATAAAATATTGCCATTGGCCATCATCTTATGATGTGAGCTACACTATGCGATACATATTTGGTCAACAGCTTCATCTTCTGTCAGTTATCCATTATTATTTCTGATTTGTTAGTAGTGGAATCAATAAATGTTATATCATATTAATGATAACAAAATCACAGCTTTGTTTTTCTTGGGCTCGTAAAATGTGAGGGTTATAACCTTTTTGAAAGGTGAATATTGAAGATCCAACATTTCACTAGTGGCATTTTGCCTGAGAGGTACTTTGCAAACATTTTGCTACTATATTTGGCAGGTTTGTTGGAAATGTACTCGGTGAAACTGCATCACCCGTGAAAAGCATCTAGTTTTTCATCTATTGTTACAAATGGTCCTACACTCTACATCCTTTTGCAGTCCACTGTAAATGATTCCAAAACAGAACGCACTGCAGTGTGTTAATTGATTTTTCTTCTCTCACCGGTGACAAGCCACCATTAAAATGGCAATATTTTGTATTATTATAAACGTCATGTGGCTCCGAGCTCTAACGAACGGGAAAATCCCCACGTTGCGAAATGGAAAACATGTTAACACCGCCATGGAGATCTGCCTTACTTTCTAAAAAGCTTCCAGAAAGATTACGATATTTAAAGGGCAACGGCTTAGAGGCAGTTACCCCTGGGGGCCACGCCGGAGGCCCACGTAACGAGAAGCCGTGCCAAAGAAAACGACGTCAGCGACGAGCCCTGCCCCTGACGCCGCTGCTGAGAGAGAAATGGATGAATGGTGGAGCGATGTGGTAAGCAGCCTCCGTCGTCGAACTCGACCCTCCACCTCGTCTTCCTGGTATGTTTCTCATTATCTCTCCCTTCCCTCTTGTCCGTCCCCATAGCTCTCTAGTCCCCCCCCCCCCACACACACGTTAATGCAGTAAATAAATAAATATTATTAATCTAACTCGTAGACTTTTGACTCCTCACTTCTTCCCCTCCCCCACTCAAAGCATAGCCGAAACAATGCCGGAACTGCTCCCTGGCGGGATCTGCCCCTAAGCCGCAGTCGTTTATATATCGTACATTCTGGAAGCTTTTTAGAAAGGAAAGCGGATCTCCAGGGCGGTGTTAACATGTTTTCCAATGCGTAACGTGGAGATTTTCCCGTTCGTTAGAGCTCGGAGCCACATGGCTATGAAATAGTTGATTATAATACGGAATATTGTCATATTAATGGTGGCTCACCACACTACTGTCAAATCTCATAGCTCTAAGCAAAAATAGGAACCTCTTCTAACTCAGGTAAGATTTGAGAATTTCAATTCGAATATCAGAATTCCTTAGTTCTTGCACAACACTGACTATCAGTATTTACAATCTTATGCAAAGTAGTCAGTTCAGTGGTCTCTTCAGAGGTTCAGATCTCTTGCAGTCAGTTCAGGTCTCAGGAATATCTTCATGTTTTTTTTCCCTTGCTTTCCCTTCCCTGAAAAATCTGTTTTTCTCCAATTGGTTACATTATTACTCTCAGTAAAATTTTTGTCACCTGAATTATTCTCATCTTTGCTGTCAGAAGAAAAGCACTCCTGTTCAGAACCACAGTCTTGCTCATTTTGGTGACAATTTGTTTATCCCTTTGTTTATATCTTGGTTACTCCCAGCGTTGCCAGAGAAGAAATCTTCACCGGTGAACTTATCCTCAACCTTGAGAAAATATCTTAATGATTCTTCCAAAAAAAATTAGCCAAATAAAATATAAAACATACAAAGCCCTATGAAAATACAAAAACAATTCAAACTCTAACAAGAATTCACTGTGGGTTAAATTATTTACACAAGTGGGTGCACAGGGTGCTCTATACACCATTGCGACAGTACTCTAGGCAAAACACTATGTAATACATATACCTGCATGCACCAACATTCGACCAGTTCAATATGCATTTCAAACAATGAACGAATATTAAAGTTGCAACAAGGTAATTAAAGGAACAAGTTATGCCAATTTGAAAATTTCTTAAAACGGGGTACTCTATGCCCCTATGCGCCTGCTCAAGGAATAATGTAGATGTTAATTTATTTTAAACTGCATTTAATATTGATGAGGATCTGTGTGGGCATCACCCTTTGCAGGCAGTTGGGAGAAGTGTCAACAAAGGGTATGAGCAGATAAACTTATAAGGAAGCATTACTACATACACAAGCATTGCAGGTGGAAGACTATTACAAGCAATGTGTGCAATGATGAAGTAATTGTTATACATTTGACCAAACATAGCTCAGAAGACAGTTACGATTCTGATCCAGTCTCTTGTGATGAATGAAAAGTGAGAGGTCTGTATGTGAAGAGTGAATTACTTTTGCTCATAATATGTAATTCTGTATTTAACTTATTATGCTCATACATATATAAATAATTCTTGTTACCTTGGGATAGTTATTTTATGAAAATGATATTTTTACATACTTGTACTTTCTTGAAGTAGTTAATGTTAATCTTTTATTTCCGAATTCTTTCCGAAACCAATTAAAATTGTACACAAAACACCACATGCAAGGGTTACCGTCAAGTTCTTCCAAACAATGCCTTCGGTGTCAAATGGGAAGTGTTCACCAGTAGCCCTGAAGATAAATTAGATTTCAGTGCCTGACTATTATGTAAGGGAAGAACGGGACCATCAGCTTCACAGGCTGTACTTCACACTGCACTTGCTTGACATGACCTTGGAGCTTGCAATTTCATGGTACGATCTATAGAAGACACGTAGACTATGGGCAAGGATGAGGAAACTCTTAGACTATTGGAAAGAACAACTCACTTCAATACAACCCAAAAATGGACAGTAATTAACATGAAACCAAAACCTCCAATTAGAAAAGGAAGAGATTGTTACATGCTGAAACTAATACAAAGAAAAACTGTACATTGGGAGAAAAAAATGTCTATGCAGATAAGAAAGGCCAAAGAACATCAAGAACAAATTTCTTTATGCAGAACTGAAATATCACCATCACAAGGAAGTGTTTAGTAATGACATTTCATCAGAATTAAACAGAATGGTGGAAGAATGATCTTGCACAACTTCTGAAGACTAATCAGAAAAACTTTTTTTCCTTAAGAAATTTTTAACTGACTTATATTCATTTAAATATTGGATCTCAATATTTTAAAGTATATGCTGAAAGTGAGAGCGTACAATGAGACAAAAACTCATTTAATTTCAGAAACCTTAGTTTAGGGGATCTCACCCACGCACATGGTTCTTGGGAAGACGATGGAACTGAACAGCTTAACTTCCTTCATTAGTTGAATTTAAAAGAAAAATAAATATGTGTTGTATGAATAGTGAGAGAGATTTTAATTGGTATAAATTACAGAAATGAAAAATTGATGAAAAAAGGACTTAAGAGAATGGCTGAGAAAGAGTGATAACAAAAGTTTATAATTACAAAAACAATTATTACAATTGTTCAAAACAATAGTTTGTGAGATAAAAATTGTACAAGCACATTTAAAATGATCTAACATTTGATTTAGTATTAGTAAATACTCACTTCTTTATACTCATTTATCCCAAGATTTCTGCCATACTAAGGGACCAAGTTTATGCTTTTCTAGGAGGCAAAGTTTTATACCTTAGCAGAACAAAAAGTAATCCATGGTGGGAGAAAGGGTGAAGCAGTCCGGGTACAGCCTATGTTCCACTTTGACTGAGAATTTGTGAAAAGCTTCCTCTCAGCTCACACACTGGGGAAAATATTTATATTTGTGGATCTTGATCATATGACCTTGAAAATAACAAATGACAATAAATATTTATTAAGCGTTTACCAACTTCACCCCTTAACCACGAGTTTTTATGTCAAAGAACTTCGATGGCTGAAATGACTTGCTTTGCTTGTAGAATTCAACACCAAGGCTGTGGCCTTCATTATTTACATTAGCTAACTGAGTCTGTTCACCAGAAAATCTCCAAACCATTTTTATATCAACTCTATTCCTGTGAAGACTAGCAACAGAACTGTATGGGTGTTTTAGCATAAAAATGCATTGGATATTTTGCAATGGTCAAACTCAAGGTTGTTTCATGTAAATTGCAAGGGCAGAAGGACTGAAACTTGCAATTGACTAGAAATTGTGCAAGTGCATTCAGCCCCTAAAGTACTTTGGTGTAAAGATGTTAGGTAAAGTTGGTCAATAAGTAAGTTTTTAAAAAGGTCTTGTTTTGTTTCTGTTATTTTCCAAGCCATACAACCGAGACCTGCAAATATAAATATTATACCAACTTTTTGCAAGCTGAGAGGAATCTTTTCACAAATGTTCATCTAAATCAGAGCACATTGGGAACCTTAAGAGAAAAAAAGTGATAAAAAATGTCCAACGAAAATAAAGCTAAAACCCTCCAGCAATACTCCTAGGGTCTGATATTCCATGAAAGTCACCCACAAAAATATGTACTCAGCAGTGGCACCTGGTGATTTCAAAATTTGATAGATCACAGAATTAAGCCAGCGGGGTTCACAAAAAATATAACAAAGTAGCCTATTTGTCTTGGCCAACAAACACAAATGTACGGGAGGCACTGACGATCTGTATTTCATTGCAAATCCTTGAAAGCTGCCAAGAACTCTTCTGTAATTAATGGGGCTGATATTTCCCACCCCATCGTGAAAAACAAAACATTAATTTTTATTTATTCATTTCAATTGACAGACTAGTGTTCATGTTACAAAGACTATATTAAGTGCTACACAAATTTTTGTATGTTGAAAAAAACTACTGAAAATTGTGCTTTTTTGTTTAACTCAAAGAGTGCCCACAAAGGGAAGACTTACGCCAGTGCCCACAATGTATCACTCAGATATAGTTGAGAATGTGAATGATCTGAAGCACTATTTCTTGAATTTATTTAGTTTGTACACGTCCCCCAATGCAATTACTAATGAATCATACTCTGCAGAAATCTTGTTTGAATACTTATGGTGAAAAAGAGAAAAATTGACAAAGAATATGCAAAAATTATTAACAGCTTATTATCTTATTAAATAAAGTTTCCTCAAATGATTTTGGCTTATTCTAAACAAACATATATTTTATATTTGTCACAAAAATATTTAGAAAGTCTGTCTTTTTTTCCATTTTGCAAAGTTCTCATTCTCTTCATTTTTCTACAGACGTTTCCTGCACATCATTCTTCTCTTTGGGAAGAAATTGTGATGGTCAACCCTAGTAAAGACAAATTATTATACATTCTGAATAAGCACTTGCAATAGACACGGTTGAAAATAATTCCATGATGCATATCGCTTAGGCCAGGAGCTCACAATACACTGGCGCCAGTGCATTAAATGTATCTGGCAGATATGACACAGTGCAGTGATCAGTTTCAACATGCTCACGGGAAATGATTTAGTGAAAGGATAAAAGTAGGAAACTTTAGTGAAAGGTCAGGCGTTCTCAGAAAAGTACAATGAAGGAATACATGAAATTTCAGATGAATAACTCATCATAATAATTCAGAAACATAAAATTGCCTTGGCTTGAATCTCACAGACCTCTTGCGGGCACTCTCGGTTAAATCATATGAGACTAAAACATTGGTATAATAAGTGGTTTTATAAATTAATAAACTAATAAAATAATAATTTCTGAAATATCATTAAATTATTAAAAGTTTACATTGATAATATTAAAAGTTTGAGATATCATATCAAGATGTGGTTAAAAATTCCAAAATTTTAAATAGAAACAGTGACTTTTAATTTAAAATTCTATTACTTATATTGTTTTGAATGCGTTGCATTTGAACCCAAGAGATTCATGTTTTTGTTTGTTTCATGAGTACTTTTATGTTCTTAATGTTATTTTTTAATTCAATTATTCTGTATAGAAAGAGATAATTTGTATCGGTTTTTGAAGCTTTTCTCTAGATTTCAAGTTTTAAATTTTGTGTTTTTTAGCAAGTTGTTTACTTACTGTTGAGAACTCTCATGGTTTTGAAATTATTAATTGAAATTGTTAGTACTACATCAATATCTTTTCTATCTTATGTAATATGTAATTGTTAATAGTCCTAAGCTTTTATACCACTTAATTTGTTTGAGCTTCGACATATCGTATAATAACCTATGCCTCAAACGTATGTACAGATGTTTCACCACCTGAGGGGGTTATAAATCACAAAACTACTAATATTTCTTCATGAAATACCTGAATGAATATATTTATGAAGATAACATGTTGAGTGCACCCAATTCGGGGTGTTCTCAGAAGTTCACTCACACCTGCCCTGTGTGGATATTTTCATGAGCCCATTGAGCACACCACATGCACATGCAAAGCAACCTGAACTCCTCAGATCATTTGCATGCTCTGCTTCATGGCCATGAACCCCTCACCAGGACATTGACACAATAGTTATCTAACATGGAGTTGTACTGTATGTCCCACTACCCTCAGCTAGGAGCCAGTAGTTTGTCACTGCCTAGGTCTTACTATTAGGCATCTGGGTAGTATTTTGAAGTCAATCACTGGTTTGCAACATGTCCATGAATCATTCTCTCATATCTTATTTGAAGTTTGTGCAAAAAAAAATGTGATGCAATCATGACTAGTAAGATTAATTTTCTTCTGTACAAGATTTAACAGGAGGTAAATATTTGTAAAATTGTAAAAGTCGGGGAAAAACAATTTCCTCCTTTACAATTGGCAACAGAGTTATGACAATCATATCTATTCAAAATTTTCCTTCAAAAAAACAGAGTACAGTGTTAACCAACTAGTTGTGAAACCACATTAATACTCACGTGTTTTCAATTAAAATTTTCTCACCAATATGTTAAATAGGTATGGCCAAATATCTGCTAAACTGACTATAATAAATTCTCTGATTCTGAGTACAACAAAAAAACAAATATTTTCTCTTAAATATACCATTTTCCTCTTTGGCCCTAAGAATAAAATGAGATCTTACAAAGGAACACAAGGAAGTTTTTATTAATATCAATTCTCAAGAGAATAAGTTAGGGTTTTATACACACACGCGCGCGCGCACACACACACACACACGCGCGCGCGCGCACACACACACACGCGCGCGCGCGCACACACACACACGCGCGCGCGCGCACACACACACGCGCGCGCGCACACACACACGCGCGCACGCGCACGCGCACACACGCACGCGCACGCACGCACACGCCCACACGCGCGCACGCACACAGAGTACACACACACGTATGTATATATGTACACATATACATATATAAATTTTGAAACAATATTTAAAAATTCATTTCATCCTCGAGTGAGAGAGTTTCCTTTAATTATAAAAGTAATTACAGGTTAGCAGAAAATTACAATAATATTATGAAAGAAAATTAATTTCAAAGCCTCTTGATCAATTGCAATTTGAGATAATTAATTTGCCACCAAAACAGTCATTATTTTGACAGGTTGTACGGGCACATTTCTACATATATTTTAAAAAAGAGATAATAGTGACATATACATTACCTTTTTAACAATTGCTACTCCTAGTTTGTTTTCAATGGTGTCAAGTAGAGGACCTTTGCAACTGGAATACAGCATTCTCTCTTTTATAGAACAAGAATATCCAGGCATGGAGTAAATGAATACTGAAACAGGTTAATTCATATAATAAGCAAATTATCAAAGACAATATTCAAGTCAATTAATGTTGAATTCAAATAAGTAACAGGTCAAGTGGAGGAGAGGAAAAAAGATCCCTATGGCTTAGAGGAAGAAGTATGTTAAGTGCTTTGTGTGGAGTGTGGCATTTTAAGAGACAGAAGTGTAGACTATCAGAAACAAAGACAAAATATTTTAAAAGTGTTGGATTGTACCTATGAAGAATAATGGACGAAGTCAGCTAGTCAGAGATGTTGAGAAACAATACGTGGGAAAGGAGAGAACTTTGCTGAAATTTATTGCGAAGATGAAGTCAAGATAGGTAGGCCATATCCTGAGGTACAATTATTTGTTAAAACATATCATGAACGGTAAAATATGTAGAGTAGGCAAAAAAGAAGAATAAGTTTTGGATTGTTAACAGATTTGACGAAGAACAGAAGTTACAATCAAATGAAGAGAGACTGACATGATAAATAAAAATGGAGATGTGAATACAGCCAATAACTGTCCTAGGGAATTCATTCAAGAAGAATGTCCAAGAACAAAATTTAAAGTAACAAATTAAAAAGAATGACAGTTATTAAAACACAGATTGCATTTGCAAGGAGTTTCAAGTTTGCACATTAAAAAAATTATAGAAATCTGTTAGGTTCAGGAGTGTGTATTTAAAATTAATTTACTTTCAACAAGTTTTTACTAGTACAGTATAACATTTAAGTACACAATTGCAATCAATAATTTTTGATGCTTCAGACCTTGACATTCTGAATTTTGGATCACTTGAACAATATTTTTATGAACTAAATTAAACTTATTAAGTTACAAGGAATCTCATCATTAATTTGTGATTACTATATTCCATTGACATTACACAATTGATAAGTTTTTTCACATTTGTTATCATTTTAACATGTTTTAGAAGTTTTAAAACATTTTATTTTTTATACATCCAGAAGGAAGTTGTCAGGAAATTGTCAGTTAAATAACAATACACTTTTCTAGTCCACCAACATTTCAAAGCGTCTCCTTCATCTTTAGGACTGAAAGTATTCAGAATAAAAACACTGAATTATTAGACTACAGCTGAGAATAGTAAATATGGTACTGCAAACATCAATACAAACTTTACTATACCAAATAGGGAAAACAAACTACTTGAACAAGTAGAAAACCAAAAGATGTACCTTATTTTAAAAATAAAGCACACATACAAAATTAGTAGTGCTCCAAAAGCACATACTTTTTCGTATCATTTTAAATATGCAATTTTCGAAAATTCAGTTCAACAAAAATGAGACCCAGGCCATTCTTTTAAGCAACCCGTCTTCCCGCCATGCTAAAAATTTGAAGAACGAATTGGGAGCGGTTTTTGAAAGAATGGTTTTTATACCCTGCATTAATTTCAAGCAAAATACGCGGAAATTACTCATATCTTCAAAAAAATTGTACATGACCTTTAATAATGAGCTGTATTTTTACAACAGTCTTTGCCTAAGACAAAAATCTTTAATTTTGTAGTTTTGAAATTTAAACTTGCTGCTATTTTCGAAAATACGGGGAGTTTGAAAATGAGGCTGTCTGGCATCAATGTGTTTATTATCTCTCGATATATACCATGAGAAATTTTAAAGAAAAAATTTGGATAGTTTTTTGAGGAAAAAAAAAAAAAATTAAAATTGCCTATATTTAGCGCAAAACTTCTCGTATTTTTGAAAAATTGTATGTGACTTTATTTCAAAGTCCGTCTTTTAAGAACAGATTTCATTAAGAAAAAATATATACATCTATGTTCAATATTGTAGGAAGGCGTCTAAGAAAATTGAACTTTTGTAATTTTCAATAAAATCGGTACTACGAACAAACAGGAGACCGGCACCATTCCCTTAAGCATCCTTTACGCTACCCGAGGACAACGTTTATTAATAGTTATTTATGGTTCTAGGGCGTTAAGTAGATGTTTTTGCCCCGAGGGCGACTTCCAACCCCAAGGGCCCCATGCGTGTAAAGCGAAAACACGCATAGAAATCGTCATTTGTCAATATGACGTAAGATAAACAAAACAATGTGTAATGACTAGCCCTACTGCATACTCGTTGTAGGACTAATTTGTTCGTACAAAATGAACGAATACAGTGAAGTTCCAGCGGAAATTCTCGCAGAAGTTAACGTAGCTACGGACAGTGGTTTCCGGTAAAATCTCTAGAAATATATAATTATGGTGTATTAAAGAGTTGTGGATTATGCTGATGAAATGGTAGTACTTTAAGGTTACTTGCTTCTATTGTCGAAAGTTATTTGGAATATTTCATAACTTCAGAAAATAACACTTTCGAGGATGTTATACGTTGTGCCTTACTACATTATTACTGCTGGTAATACGGGTACTCAATAAGCACATAATATATCTCTAAATAAAGGTGATGCGTAATAGTGAAATATGAGTGACTGATGGCAATTTTAAATTCACGGGAACATTCCAAAATTGCTACTTTCATATCAGCTAAGTAAAATGTGGTTTATAACGAGTTATTTCATTTATTTGAGCGTTATGCCATTTATTTATTGCTTTTGCTTATATCTTAACTTTAATAAATCGAATTCGTAAAAATGTATGTGTTGGGTTGGTTTGAGAGCGGGCCATAAAATTATTCGAAAAGCCCTCGGGCATAAATAATCAGAAAGGCACACAGCAATAAACTAGTAAACCATTTTAAAAAAATACGAGAAATTTTTGAAACTTTACATAAAGTAGCCTAAACAATCAAAACATCAAGTTAAAACTCCCAAACTCTGGAGCAATATGAGGTTCTTCTGTTGAAAATTCGCCGTTTCTACTCTTTCTCTTCTATGTTTGGATGGGCAAGAAAGTAAAAATCATATTTCTTCATATTGTAATAGGTCCAATCTCGTGTCATATTACGGTACCAGTACCAACCAGAGTGTGATTACAGTAAGAGAACCATCAGTACTACCAGAGTTGTACTGTGGTAGTACACACAAAATTGGACACTTATCAAATGGCCTGCATGTTTTAGCTGTACAGTAAATTATGTTCATCAGTTTTCTGGGTGTTGTTTAATGTAGTTTGTTTTCACCATGTGCATATGGTCACGTTTTAGTGAATTTTGCAGTATTTATTATTCTCTATAGCAATTTTAAATGATATGGTAGGTACTGTCGTTCTATACTATCAGGCCTGAAGATAAAGTAATTTGAAACGCTGGCAAACTAGAAAACTAACTTTATTTAACTGACCAATTACTAGCTATTTTTCATTCTTTGCATTACACGATTGTGAATATTTTCAACTTTCATTGCATTGAGGAACACACCAGTAGTATATACAAAACAGTACAACAGTGCACCATACAACAGGCCTATGAAAACATTCACAATGTCATCTCAGTGGTTAGAGCAACAAAGAGTAAACCAGAAGATCTGGTTTGATTCCCGTTTGGTGTGACTAATTTTTTAAACAATTTGAAGTAGGAAATACTGGATATCAATACTAACATAAATTTTGTCTGAAATGTTTAAAAATTTTATGTAAAAATCTTAAGCACATATAAAGATTTTCCGATATGGAAATTACATTCTATTTGTGGCTTTATTTTCCTTGCAAGTAATTTTATCATAACTTTAATTTCTGAATAGCTTGTTTGATTACTCTAGGGCCTTCAAACAGCATACATGCTTGGAGCACGCTTGCACTCTGCATGGCAGGACATGCCATGCCATGCCGATGGCGCGGGCATTATAGTCTGTAGTCCTGAAGGGACGCAAGAAGACTTACAGTAAGTTTCAGGGGGCCCTTAATTTCTTGTGCCAGGAGCGAGAAGGGGATGCTCTTTGTTAAATATGCAGAAAAATTTTGTAAACAATGAAGTATTATTAAGTACTAACTATACGTACTTCTTCCCTATTAACTCTACATCCTTCTTCTCTACTTAATAATACTATTGTTTTATTAGCTATCTCCAAATTCCCTGCTGCTGGGTGCTGTTTGTATGGCAGTGCTTGCCACAGACAAATTTGAGTTAAATGTAGCAATTTTAATGTTGAGTACCAATGCATAGTTTGCTGAGGTTATTATGTTTATTTTATGCATTGTTTGCAGAAACTATCAGTAATTTATATTTATTGTTAATGAAAATCTCTTTAAATATTTTTAATTAGGTTTATTATCTCAAAATTTTAGTGTTTGCGACTTAAGTTTAGGATAAGTATATTTTATACGAAAGTAGGGCACGTTTTACTATATTTCTGGAATGCAAAGATAAATATCAACTGTGGGGGAACACTGGTCATTCATAAATTGAATACAAGACCTGATTACAAGAGGATAAAATTGTGGAATTCTGATGACAGTGATCACAATTCTCTTTCATGTAAAGAGAACAAATTAGCATTGATATTCTAGGGTTAAAACATCCAGTAGCATTAGTTATAATTATTATTTCTTATACACATTCTCTCGAAATACAAATTTTGGTTAGATTTTCTTACATTTTTGTGTGATGAACAATGCACGAGTAAATTAGCGTTTCTCATTTAAACACAAAATTCATTTTAAATATTTACATAATTTATTAAAGATCTTTGTGTTTATCCCTTCCTTCTATCCATGAAAACTTCTCATCAAATTGCAGAACACACCATACTCGCGATTCCGCACTAAAAGCTGTTCCCTTACTTCTTGTACATTTGACAGCTCTACTCTAGAGAAACTGGAATTCTGAACCTCAAACCATAAGAAAAACCATAAAGTTAGAACCTCTAATCAAAGAAAAAGACAAACCACCCATGCCAGCAAAATCTTTCATCTACACGTTAATTGTTTTGTATTATATTATTATTATTATTATTACAGTCTTGTTATGGTATGCAACATAATATGTACCCTGACAGACATTATCATTAATACTGCTGCCTATACTTGCACAAATAAATCAAAAATTTCCTTTCAGTTTATTGAATTTTTTGTGTTGGACAATTGTCCCCCATTCCGCACACAGCTATAGCAATTACTATTGTCCCTCAACGTTGTGTTGATAGTAAGTAGTTTCAAAACTGACCAAGAGCTATGGAATTTGGTTTCTGAGAGTCAAATATTATCAAGGGCTTACTGTAGTCTGGCAGGGAAAAGTTATTAAAAATGTTTGTGCCTTCATTTTTTACATTTATGAGGAAAATAATTTTTTATCATTACAAAAAGTGAAGTAAAACATACCGACACTCTCCATATAATCCCCTTCATGAGTGTGCTTAAAATTGAAAAGGTGATACCGTGCATTATCTGAAGGCACTTTCTCCACAAGTTTATTCACATGAATGTTGTCTACATTGTCAAGGAGAATTTCTTCTTCTTTTAAATCTACAAAGAAAAAAAAATGTGTATTATCAAAAATACTATATTCTGAACAATAAAAAAATAAGTATGCAGATTGTCAATGTGAGAATATACTATTAAACCAATAAAAATTGTCAATAAATACTACATTTTTCTAAATGTGAAATTGTTATCACAGTTATCAATTGTCTGCTACGGTAATCAGTCTCAAAGCACTTGCATTCTAAATCAATCACATTTAAGAAGCTGCTCTTCTTACCTATTTTCAGTTGAACATAATTTACTTTATTGCTTTGCAAAGCTCTTATAGCTTCAAGAACTTGAGATGATATGGGAAATGCAACTCCAGACAATGTTTGTTGACGAGAGTCAATGCTCATTCCAACTGACACCTCAGTTCGCTTTAAGAGTGCTAATTCCTCTTCTGCATGTGTTAGGGGAGCTGGTTCTACAGCCGCAGATTTATATCGATGAAAACCTCGTAGGGAAACCTCTTCCTTAATCATTAAAAGAAAAAATGTCAATGATAAATACCAATTATACTAGCCTTTTACAGAATGGATAAACAATGCCCAACACTATCATAGCTACGAGCTGCTCAAATAATCCAAAACTAACCCAGAGAAAAGTGAATTGCATTTTCCATTCTAATATGCAAAACAAAGAGGCATCACCGAGTTACCTTCACCAACATTCTCTAGTTTAGGGAAAACTAAAAAAAAATATTTATTCCAGAAGAATACATTACATTCCTCTCCAACTTCTAATAAATAAGGTAAGCAAACAAAGTCTGACTATAAGAGATCATTATAAACCATTTTACGATATTGCATTCAGAAACATTCCATGTTATATTTGAAAAGACATTTTCAATATGCCCAAGCACAAGTGCACGAGTTTTCTTGTTTAAGTTAAAAGTTCTTGAGTCCAACCTCAAACAAAAATGTGATTTATATTAATTTCCTCTGAAGGCCCCTAAAATGTTTTCTAATTTTCTTGAACGTTTAGCATGGGTGCAATAACCATCTAATGACCTCCATTTATATGGAATTTTAAAAGAATAACGATATTTATAATGATTGTCAGTCCAAAAGTCCATTAAAAAGGAACTTAAAGATATTAGATATTATTATCTAACAAAGGGTACTGCATCAAAAAGTAACTGCACATACTATCCTTTAGAAAAGAAAAGGATCAATGATAAACTTACAGGAATAGTGCCATACAGTTCTTCTTTGATTTGACCACTACCAAATTCTTGTTTCAGTGTGGCTTTAGTCGAAGCATACAGCATTTTCTGTCTTACATGAGAACTATCAGGAGACCAACTAATGAAAAGCCATTCATATCCAGAGGTATTCTGTGAATCCAATCTGAAATATAGAATTGAAAAATCATGTCAAATTAACGGTTATGTGACAAAGTAGTGAGACTGTTCAGTGCTAGAAACATACACAGTAAGTGCATTGCAAAAGGTTTAAAGAATAAAGAAACAAAGTTCAGATTGAAAATGAAAGGACATTAATTGATAAGAACGATCATCCAAAATAAAGTCAATCTCCCTTGATGTTCTAACAGAATTATATTTAACCTTTCCAGATTTTTTTCATTAAAATAACGAAATATTTAATCAATGCTTTGGTTCATTTCATTTTATATATAATTTCATTATTCATATCACATTACTGTTTTCACAAAGGAGTATGAATTCCATATAAGTTTCATTTAAAGTGAAAAATTGCATTCTAGAAATTTAAGCACAGCCACATAAAATATAAATTAGATAATTAAAACGAACATTCTGAGACAATCACTCAAGGATGAATAGCAATACATGTCAGTGCAACGGATTCTGTATCTACACACAAATAACTTCACAATGTTTCTTGCCCACATATTACCTGCTTCCTCATAAAGGATCAACCATTCCTTTAGTTAATGTATATTATAATGTGATAGCAGTCATTTCAGTAGCAATAAAGACAATGATGCAGCATCTAACATGAAATAAGAAATTCAGACTATTAACCTACAAAATATCAATAATACTGTGTCTTACTTTTATTAAATATTTTATTATGTGTAGGCAATTCATACAATACTTATTTGAATTTTTTAGGTTGAACAAAAATATTTCATAATAGCAGAGCATATATGAGAAACCTACATCTTGAGGGCACAAACATTTCATGAGAGAACATTACACAAATCCTCTTATGAGACTTATTTATCTATAACCTAAAATCATGTTCAACAACCAATTCATAATGAAACTGTGTTCATTTTTTTTTTTTTTTTTTTTTTTTTTTTTTTTTTTTTTTTTTTTTTTTACAGATGTGATGGTGACCGTTTCATCCAACACACAGCTAAAACAAAAATTAGAAAATTCAAAAAAATTATTCCAATCTTCACCGATTACTAATAAATTTGCTTCTTATATTTAAAAGAAAATACTTTTATATTTTATGACTGAGATAGCCATCAAAATAGATCTCAAATATTTCTTTTTTACGCATTTCATATACGACCCCTGGCTTGCTATGACCCTCTTTAGCAGCATAATTCTCCATAACTAGCATGGACCAGTCTGGCATTTTTAGGGAACATGAGCAAAGGTTATCAGCAACTACAGTTCTCAAGTTCTAGAGAAAAGAAACACATGCTCTATTGTTGATTATGGTTTCAAATTTTTAAAATGAAAAAAATAAATAAAAAATATACCAAATCAAACAAAACCCATTACCTACTATCCATTTTAATAACAAAGCTACTGTAAAACCAAATGAGATAAACATTCTTGGAATGCCATTTCTTATAGCACACGAGAGTTCAGTGTGTCATTAGATGACGTTTCTTACATCACTTTAAATAAGGAAATTCTAGTTCACCACTAGTACAATGGTGTATAGTCTAATATATTAATTATTTATATTTTACATATATAATGCTACTTCAAGTAACTTTCTTTGGAACTAATCTGGTATTTTCAAACTTACCGAAACAAGATGAAAGAAGGTTGTTCATCTTCAATCAATGTGTGTACAAAAGCACCATAATCCTCTTCCCATGTACCTACTGCCTCCTTGTAAGAGGAAAGTGTCAATTCCTCTGATAATCAAAGACTGTTATCAGCATCATGGTTACAGAATCACAGAAATATTTTCATCTTTGAAAAACACATACCATTTTCAATAGAAACTTTGAAGACACGTATGGACCCACTTCGGCAATTACCAAAAAACTTCCTCAATGCCTCGTTTGCTGAAAAGTAAATGAACAATATTATAATGAGGTTTCAAGTTACACATACAAAACAGTCTGACAGATCGTACCCCTAATTCCCGTCTGATGAGACATTGAAGATTTTGCAGCCAATTTCACTGGAAGCTTAAAATTTAGCTTATATTCGTGTAAACACAGAAGTAATATTTCAGTAATTAAAAATATAACTTAACACTTAAAACGTCGGTGGGTGTTACAAGTGTAGCACAATCCGCCCCCACCCAAGACTGCCAGCCCTGCCAGTGCCAATGCCCCCACTCCACTGAACCCGGAATCCCTCCACCTGCCAGAGTACAGATGGAGGAAATGACGAACGGGGAATTGCAGTGCCATCTAACAGAGTAAAGCGGAAACATGTAAATGGAGGGCAAATGAAAGTGTCCTCGTAACTGCAAGTTTTCTTCTTACATGAATTGTATACGGTTTAGAGAGATTTTTAAAGTGCGAGAGCGTATATTATAAGTTGTTGGTAAAAATCCAAAATAAAAGTTTCGTTTTCGATTGTTCATGATTTACGTTTGTTTCGAATTGTTATTTTTTCTAAATCACTCACATATGATATTGTTTTTATAAAATATTATTTTCCTAAACAAGTTTTTTGAACATGTAAATACCAATAATGTAACTGATGTGCAATTTCTCCTTTGTGCAATCCCCCACAATCGACTGTAATTCTCGTACAGATTCCCATTCATCGCTGTTTCTAAGCAATTTACAGACTGAGTTTAAGATCTGGGCTTTTTCACCCTAAATGCTACATATTGAAAGTGAAACCTTGTTCATATTTCTAGATAATAAGTTATAATTATACTGATATACAATATTTATTATATACATAAAAACAAGTTGTCAGTTTTTTAAATATATTTTAAAATTAAATGTATCATTAATTTTATGGATGTATATCTCACAAATCTCCAAAGAAAAAAAGTGATGAATGTACGTGTCATTAAGAAGTAGTCTACCGTCTGCCTCTCGCTCTCCCCTCTTTCACCTCACGGTGGTTTTGGTCCAGTTTGTGAGGGTGCCTCATCGTTGATATACAGTCCATTCCCGCAGCGGCGTTGTCACACATTCTTTCTTAATCATAATTATAGCTAATAGTCCGTGTGTATTGTATCTGAATTCTAAAGCAGTTGGAGACTGTACCCTCGATCGTACCCCGCGTGGCCTCGGCCTCCGCCTGTTCGTCTGCTGGTGCTGATCCAGTAAGTCCCTGAGCTTAAGCTCGCATGTACCCTGATACGTGGGATCCATCATACCCTTTGCATTTCATCGGCAACGGAAGATATGTCGCACGATGTAAGAAATAATTAAAGCTATTCATCTTATACCGTGTATGTCGGAGGCTCGGGAGCGCGTGTTCGCGTCGGTTCCGCTGCGCTCTGGACTGCCCTGTGTTTGACACTGTTTGGCGTCGGTCCGAGGACCGACAGACTGGTGCCTACCCGAGCAAGCCCTATCGGTGCGGGTACACCGGAATACTAGGTCGAGTGCTTGTATTCAATTAGCAATTATAAAATTTTGGACAATGGTCGACCTACGCCTTTGTTGAGTACAGTTATACATCGTATTGGCGAGAAAAATTAAAGAAAATTCACTCCTTTGTGGTATGATCCACACAAATGGATAACAGGTAGGGAAGTTAACAATTTATTGTAGGCCGTGTATTTTATCAATAAAGGAGAGTACTTGGAATAGAGATGTATATTTTGAAATGAAAAAATTATCAAAACTATACAAAAACATGAAATGTCAAAAGATCACATATATAATTCAGTGGATCTTAAACGCCAGGAAAAATAATTGAATCCGATTTCTGAATTATTGTCAGAGCAACACAAACTTCCAAAACTTTGTTAGAATCTGAATATCTTAAAATCATGTCTGCGCGTGCTTTATGAAAATAATGTTTCGGGATGTAATATCAGCAAGACAATTGTTTTGAACAAATTGATTGAAAATACCCCCCTCCCCCAAGCGTTTGAGGTGAGGCACGGCCCCCATTACCCCTTCCGGGGATCCGCCGCAATTCAGTAATCTGTTTGCCTACCCTGAATATTTGTTCGCGAGCCGCCGAAGACCGGCACTGCCGGCCGGTCGGTTTGTGCAACGTGGGTGACGCCGAACACAGAGGTCGGGTGGTTGCTTAGTTTCCACCAAGGGCTGCCGGCCCCTTCTTTGCGTTGGGCAGGAACGCTTACCTAACCTTGCAATTGGTGGCTTCAACTTGACTATGCCGGGGACATTGCATCAGGCTAGCGTGGGAGGATACGTCCTCTCTTCCGGCTCCCTCCGAGGGCATCCTGGCGCTATCGGTACTCTGGCATGTTACCTTCCCATGAACCCCTTCGGGGCAATGACGCCTTTCAGGGATCCGCAGCTTGGTGACGCCGGTACCGGGGCGTGTATTTTCCGGTACCGGTGATTTCAAATGTCTCGCCGGACTTCTTTATGTGGGGGAGTACCCCGATCCTATCAAATACTCGACGGTGTACCGCTCACCATGGTGGAAATATATTGGTGAGCTCCTCCTGCGCGCCGATTTTTGCTCGTTCTGCGCAACACCAATTTGCGTCCCGAACCACATGGCCACAGCACGGGCACTTCGCTTGAAAAGCCAGACCAGACGATGGACGCAATGCAAGTTGGATGGAAGTTGCATGGAGAGCGAAAAGTGTTGGAAAACATTCTGAAAGTGGCATAAAGTGACTATAAGAAACCTCTATAGCGCGCATGAATGAAGAACTTGGCCTTACGGGCTTTTCCTGTAAAGAAATACTCCCCCCCCCCCCCGCGTTTTAAGATTTCAAACCTGTTTTCAAAAGTTTAACATAATTTTTCATAACAACGATATCAGTAACATTACTCACCAAATTCAATATATTTTTACAACAAATCGTGGCGAATAACTTTAGAATTTATTAATTTTTGGAGGAAGAGCTCATAAGCATAGGTCAGCCATCTATCAGGTTAGCCATAAGGTTCATCAGCCACGGTGCCACGTGCTTCGGTTGCCTTATCATACTCCGCTCAGAAAGTTCCGGTTGTTTACTTGTGTTTGTCCGCCTATTTCGTTGTGTTGTTTTTGTAATTTTTGATTTTAATCATGTCAAAGTTAAAGGCAATTATGTTTACTTTTCTTCATTTTTGTTTTAGTAAATTTATTTTGGTAAATTTATTAATTTACAATTCTTTAGCTTAATTTATTTTTAACACGCCGTGGGCGAAACGCGATGCGCAAAACATCTGTGACGATTCGCAATTGTCTTTCGTCTTGACGACGTCTTTGTTTATTATTTACAAACAATAGTGTTACGGCATTGACTGGAATCCATTTACTTTTGTACAAGTAAGGTAATTGTAGTTATTTGATAATTCATTTATATTCTTTACTTGACACATTGCGTTTCGCTCACGGCGTGTTAAAAAATAGTATACGCAACACGGGGGCGAGGTGACTCATCTTTTTATCATCCTCGCCACGTTCGGATGACAATCTCGTCTCGGGCGGGAATCACCTGTTTCGCGTCCTTGTTATGTAAACTGCTATTTCTTTACAAAATTAATTGAGAATGCATGATCCGCTCTCGCGGCGAGAGACTGGTTGGTTTCCCGCCATCAGATGTTAATAAGGGAACACGAGCTTTAGTCTTTTTGCAACTGCTTGTAGTTGGACTGAATTTTAGATGCAGTGTTGTGTAAATAATGACGCACTTTAAAATTAATATGTTTGTGGTTTCTTATGGCTCATATCGCAGCACAAAAAACGTGAGAAGCTTAGCAGAAATGTTTTCTGCGTACCGGAATCTCATAAGAATAGTTTTAGATTTGAGAAAAGGAAGAAAACACACTTTCATTAAATTGGAAAGGTTCGAGACAAACTAATTTAGCGTTAAACTAGGACTCCACCCCTTTGCGGTATTCAACACCATCGAGCGCGTAACTTTCGGTTCATACAATAGAACAGGAAAGCGCTACATTCGGCATCACTGTCGCCACAAGAGATCATACCTCATTCTTAACTTCGGACGCGCCATAGCAAAGGTCGGCCAGCTGGCGAAATGAGTCAAGACTGCAGTCAAAAGCCATTGCGCGGTGAACGAATAAGAAGCAAGTACACAGAGTGGCAATCACGGAGACACAAACAGAAGAGATCGGAACACTTTAGACAGAAACAATCGTCAGCGAGACGGAACAGTAATGAGTTTGCAGTTCAAAGAGGATTTGGATAAGATGATAAGCAGAGCGCATATTATCGTCAAATGGCTTAAGAAAAATCTTTTGAATATACTATGTCAAGCGTAGAGTTGTGTACTAATATTCGTGATGAGTGCAAAAAAGACAGTTATTAGTGCAAATGTTCAGAAGTGTAATTGAAAGAAGTACCTGTTAAATGGGAAGTGGAAAATGTTAACAATGAAACGTCAGCTCTGTTTATACATTTATTTAAGCGTGAAAATGGTACTGATAGTGGGATTCAACTAGATATTATTAAAACCCGTTTGGCCATGGCAGCAAAACATTATTGATAAAAAAGAGCAATGGTTTGATGGTAAATATCCAAATAGGAGTGGCAATATTCTAAGAGTAACCACAAATGGTTAAAGTTTTAATTGTAGTGATAAAACTGCCTCATGAGATGGAGAGAAAGAAGTTACAAAACCAAATAGTGATGATGATGATGATAGTGTCAGCGAATAACAAATAGTGGTACTTAACTGCACTATTGGTTTAAGAATTTTGTGAATAAGAACTCTGTTTCACGGAGTAATAATGTTACGATACGAAATCCAACATGGGTTATTTCATGCAGCTGATTGTGTGACGTCAGGTTGCCAGTCCGGTAGCGTAAAATACTCCAATAGAAGTGGCAACGTGTTACCATGATAAGTCTCGACAGATAGGCATGATACTCAGTGTTGCGGTACAGGAGGGAAACAAGTGTTTGAGACTAGCGTTGTACTGGGTAAAAAGACTGCTCGTCGGTAAAATCGGAACGTCGGGAATAAAGCGGCAGCTGGTGTGCGCGTAAGCGTTTCCTAGAGAATTGTTAAGTTTTTGGTTATATTGTGCGGTTTCCGAGGTTTGTGTTTCTTGTCTTGTTTGTTATTTACCATATTATTTGCTTACTTTCGGTTTGTTTTGGTTCTGGCTACGCATCTCGTTCACAAATTTGACTCCAGCCTATTCTACCTACCAAGTTATTACCTTTTCATTTCGAAAATTGTTCGAAATAAATATTATAAAATTAGGACCTTAGAAATGATGCTAAGGCGGAATTTAATTTTTAAG